AAAGCTAGCTGAATGTGAACCTGGAAGCGAGCCAGTTAACAAGCTTTCTGCCATGGTTTCTGCTTCAACTCCAGCCTGGAGTTCCTGCCATGGCTTCCCTTAATGATGGACTGTCAGGTGTAAGATAAAATAAACCCTTTCCTCCCCAAATTGATTTTGGTCATGGTGTTTATCACAGCCATAGAGCGCAGACTAGAATGGCATCAGACACAGTCTGATAAACATTAGCATATTTAGACTATTAACATGGAAAGATTAACACATGGAAGATTTTTGCAGACGTGAGCAAGGCTCAGACATTCGTCTTGGGTGCCTGGAAATAGATTATTCTATATGCAAAAAGCAAGAGAATTGCTGGGCTCTGAGTGCAAAGCTGTCGCTGTTCACATGTGAGAGAGAGAGGGTAGCACACCCTCCTTCAGGACCTCCAGCTTCGTCTTCATTTTAGTTAAAAATCTCTCAAAACTAGACAATTTTAGTAAATTTCATCTAGCTACTTTGTCAGTGAGAAATCAAATGGAGCAATCTCCTGGAGATTTCACATTAGTCACAGCAAAGGGCGGGAGATGTGATACTGTGACTTCTGAGCTTCTTCCATCAGGACAGATGCTGTTTTGAGGCTGCTTCACCTTGCTTTAGTTTGGCTAGCCCTTCCAGTGGAGAAATGAAACCTACAGAGCAAACATTCCTCTTCTTTTTTTTCCCCCCTCAGAAAACGACAGGGCTGCTTTTCCTTGTCTTGTTTTTTCTTCTGATATCATCTGGAACACATTATTTTTGTTGCAGATTGCCTGGAATTATAGTCGTGGAGAGGGCCTGAGAAGAGACTTTGAGGGAGCCTCTGAGTGTATTTCTAAGGCCAACTCAAAGGACTTGCTTTTCCTTTTGAAGTTGCCATTCCAGGTAATCAGCAACAAAAATTAACGTGTTCCAGATGTTAGATGGAGAACCTAACAACAGATTCTAGTAAGCCATATTAAACACAGAGACTGGAGGAATGGCCAACGCACTTGATTAGGACCATCCACAGCACGGTGACACAATCAGACAGACACTCTGTGGACGGATGCAACTTTGCTCTTCAGAAGTCTCAGGGTTTGCCAAGCTCTCTCACTCCACACACAAGCTAGGCTCCCCCTGGGTTGCATGCTGATCTTGCCTCTTCATACCTTACCAACAGCTGCCTGCCCTATGGACTGTCTTCTGGCTCAGATACGCATGAGGATGTCAGAGATGGAGACCATCAGGCGGAACAACTTCCATGTTTATTTCATGTCCAGCTTCACGGTGCTTTTTTTGCAAGACAGACCCATTTCATCACGCCACAGCTAGGGTCAGAATTTCTCTTTAAAAGGGAACTGTATTTGTTTGGTTGTTGCCTCAGATAAACTCTTCAGGTACAGTGAATGATCTCAAGAAATTCAGGCAAGCGCAGGAATGCTCTGCTCAAGGAGATCATAATGTCTGTGGCTTCAAAAGTAGAGACAGCACAGAGTGATGAGAGAGAGAGACTTGAAGTTCGTAAGAGGAACAGACCTGTGGACACTGACATGGGCCATCCTGGGAACCATGATGATTTCAGCACTCACCCACAGAAATCCAAGTTAAGTCCTGTGAGGTAGGGACTCTGCTCATTCTTCTTGTGGAGAAAGGAAACAGAGGACGGGGGAGGTCACTTGACCACAAAAGAACTAAAACTGGGGCATCCCTCTAGAAAGGTGCTTGATAGGAAATTACCCAAAACCTTTTCCCAGGGTCTGGATGTCTACATCCCCTACCACAAAATACATTTACTGAGTCATAACCTTCAAAGTGATAATAGCACTACCTGGAGTATTTGAGGGGTGGTTAGGCTACAAGGATGCAACCCTCCTAAGTAAGATTAGTGCCTTACCGAAGCACCCTGGAGGATTCCCCTGCTCCACCATGTGAGCATGCCATCTATGAACTGGGAAATCAGTCCTCATTAGACAATTTGCTGGTGCTTTGGTCTTAGATTTTTCAAAAGTTTTGTGAAGAAAAAAAAATCCATTGTTTACAAGATACTCTTCTATGAAATTTGAATATAGCAGCCACCACAGAGGACAGCATGGCCTTCAGCGCCCCACGGAGCCCAAGCACTTTTGGAGCTTAGGTGTGTTGGCACAGAGCCATCCACTGTCTCCACACCTTGCCATCCCCACTCCGCTGCGATCCAGGGCTTTGTTTATCTCATCTAAATTCACATATCTGACTCTTGATGGTAACCATATGTTCCTTCTGTAAATAAGTAAGATTTCAGAGTGTGTTGTTCAACAGGGTCTCCTCGGGTGTTGGGGAGACCAGCTTGATACTCTGGTGCACTCTGTTAACATAGACATGCCTGGTCCCCAGTTTGTTGATCTGCCTCCAACAATCCCCAATCTTACCACACTTCTCTTTTATAACCCCATTGTCCTTTTCACAGATTCTTGTCAAGAACGGATTAAAACTCTCCAGGAGGGTCTCACCTCCACTCCTGCCTCTCCAGGTAAAGGCATCACCTTTCTCCCTAGGAGCCCATTCCTGCATCTTAGTCAAGGTGTAACAACCAAGACACCCCCAGGATGTTTTTCCTCTTGCTTTGCCTACCATCTCTCACTCTGAGTTTCTTAATCCCCCCTGCAACTGTGGCTCTGCCACCTGCCTGAGTGTCCCGCTTCTGCCTCTCTCTTGGTCTTCCTAGAAGGGATGTTGCTCCCTGTGCTTCCTGTAGGAGTCATTCCAGTATCTCCTGCTGGGAGTCACCACCAGAAGCCATTTCCCTGCCTGGGTCCTCCATGAATTTGGACAGAACTCTACAGACTTCCAAAACTTAGCTCAGGCTTTTCCTCTACCAACTGGAAGCACGTGGAGACAGAAAATTGTTCATTCCACTCTTGTTTCCTCACAACCAGAGAGAAAAACCTGAAATGAATGCCAGGAAATAGAATACTGGATCCCGAAGGAGAAGGGACACCTCCCACTTTGATACTGTTCTTCAAATCCTGGTTTGGGGGATCTAGGTGAAGCAAGGTACACAACACACATCTTCAAGTGAGAAATTCAGAAAATTCCCTATGGCTTTCTGCTCTTTGGATTTCTTTATCAGTCAATACCTCCCCTCAGCAATGCAGGTTAAGAAGGATGCTAAAGGGGAAAGCGTGCTCTGATTGAATTTACTGGTTCATTTTTCTGTGCTCCAAATGTCTTATTCTTTGATCCCATAACAAAATCAATTTATCCATTGTTTTCTTTACCAATGATAATATTTCTTAGGTACAAATAAAGGAGGCAATTGCAACCTAATAGAACACAGGAGATAAACTTGCACTGGATAACTGAAAAGAGGGGACCACACTGACTGGTTTGATCTAGAATTAGGAAAAGCTAAATAGAACATCAGAAGAGAAGGCGAACAGTAGGTCGTCGGTGATTGCTCCTGAAGCTCTCAGAGCTTAATTTGTATTGCTCTGTCATGAACTTCAAGGATTATGTATGGATCTGGAATATTTCCAGCAATATGATGGTTGTCCACTACCTCTATTGTCTCTCCAAGTACAATTCATTTTCATTTGTCTCTAACCAAGAATGCTTAGCAAGATCAGAGAGAAGTTAGTTACCTAGTTAAAATCATGTTAGATTGAGCTAAAACTGGAGAATACAATGTACAGTCAAACATTTTCAATAGAAAAAGATATGATTGAAATAAAGAAATTATTCACTTCCCCAAGAGATGAGCATCCAAGTGGTGACGGCTGCCCTTGAGTTGAATTACCAAGGGGCCACCTAAGCTCCCAAGATGCATTCCTGTCCCAGGACTTCAGAAAGAGTGAAAAAAAGATAGCACATAATAATTTGACTGGGAAACCCTTTTAAATGGGGTGATTTGATATTTGTAAACATTTATCTATTTGTTGTACATGTATGTGTTGTGTACACACATGAGCACATCATGGTACTTACGTGAAGGTTAGAGACAAATTACAAGAGTTGGTTCTCTCCTTCTACCACGTGGGTGAGTCCTGAGGCTCAAACTCAGGATATCATACTTGGCAGCAAGCACCTTACCTGTTGACCCATCTCATTGGCTCCTGAATGAGTTACAGGGTGGTCACAGTCCCCCACCAGGGACCAGCACATCTGTACACTCACTATGTGCACTCCAGTGATAGCGCATGGATTACTGAACTGCAGGACATGGATGCAGAAGGATGGACAATGTATGTCCTCCAATGTGCCCTCTGGAGTTAGAAAAGGAGACTCCCTGCAGCTCTCCAGGGTGTAAAGTGGCAAGTAAATCCCTCCCAGCTCTGTTCAATCCCTCCCGGCACCCATCCACATACCTGAACTCTGATCAAAGACCAACACCATTTACTTGCAAAAGAAAAACTTTTCTCCACACTTCAGGGTAGGCCCATGTCCAATAGTAAATGGCCAACACAAAACAAAATCAATGGTATTTTAATAGACTTTTTGTTTCATATCACTTTGGGTATTTTTTTTTGTCTTACTGGTCGTATGCCTGTATATTAGGATTTCCAATTTTGTGTTTTTATGGATTTGGGTAGAGTTTTTGGGTTTTGTTTGTTTGTTTGTTTGTGTATGTGTTCATGGTTTTTTCTTATTGTTTACTCTTGTTTCTTTAGGGTTGTTTATTTGTTTACCTGTTTTATTTCTAAAGAGAAAAAGAAAGGGAATAGAGTTGGGTGTGTGGGGAGGTGAGGAGAATCTGGGAAGAGTTGGAGAACAGGAAACCATGATCAGATCATATTACATAAAAAGAAATGTTTTCAATTAAAAAAAAATAAGAACATTAGCAGTCCTGTGAGAAGAATCATCTGATCCCATGAATGACGTTCTCTTAAGAGACAACCAGAAGTCACAACAGAGATGGCAAAACCTTCCAACTCCTCTCCTCACTAGCATGTAGAAGAGTCACAATGGGAATTCTGAAACTGGGCCTCATGGAATGGACCTGTCAGCCAGTGTTCTTGTGAAAGAAGGAGGGATAGGTCGCAGGAAGCTTCAGCATCTTGACGCCATGGTTCTGTCGCTGTAGCCTCTAGAGGAGCTCAGCAGCCACAGTGCCTCGGTGTCATGGATCCTGCATTTGGTCACCACCATTTCCTGGAACAGATGGGACAGAAACGTGGACCTTACAGGATCCACTGACAGATCTCCACTAGCGGAGTACATACCAAGGAAGAAGGGTAAGTGGGAGAGAGGGGAGGGAGGAGTCAAAGATGGGGAAATAAGAAGGAAGGACGAGAAGGAGGGAGGGAAACAATAACTGATTTGCAAAAATAATGAGGGGCTGGAGGTATAGATCAGCGGTAGGGCCCTTGACTGATGTGCATGAGGATGTAGGTTCAATCTCACAGACAGGAAGGGAGGAAAGGAAAGGAGAGGGAGAAGGGGAGGGAAGGGGAGAAAGATACTTTTCATACTTGGCTTCCATCTTAGAAATGTAAATGAGCAAGAAGGCTCAAGACAAGAGGCACCATTTGACAGAACCTAATGGCTTTCCAACATCCACAGGCCAGACTGCACAAATGCTTTGGAGATCTATTTCCGACCTGAAGGGTGAGGAAGTCACAGGAAAGGAGAGGGCACGGAAGTCAATTACTTCTAGGCAAGCTGCCCAATAAGTTAAAAGTATAAATACAGGCAGAAAATAGAAGCGCAACCTCTTTATCTTTCCAATCAGGGTTTCACAAGCACACCCCCACTTCCTCTCAGGGTAGGTGCAGGGCACATCACTCTTAAAACAAGAAAGAGTGAGCACTGCGCATTTGCATTTGAAGAAAAACCATGCTGCTGAGAAAGCCGCGTACATGGGCTTTTGGGGACCAGATGCTGATGTGCATGGGATGCTACCACCTCAGCCTCTGTCTGAAACAGAAGAAGTCTTCTCTATTAAACAGATGGAAAGAATAATGAAGCTACAAGAATAGTATGTTTGGTCATTAACACCTGATTTTTTTTTAACATGGGAAAATTACTCCAAGGCAGAAATGATTTAATGAACAAGTCATTCAGCAGCAACTCATCTTGTTGTGACTGCTTCTGACACTGTTGTCAACAAAACAGAAATAAGAAAGCTACGGAGGGACACAGAGGAGTTAGGAAGGTGGTGTGAGTGTGGCTGGCACAGGGCTAGTCCACTGTGAACACCACAGAAGGGCTCAGTCTCACAACACTAAGGACTACAGACCTGTTAGGTTCCAGTTCTCAGTAGTCTGCTCCCCAAATTAGGGGCTAGCAACTGCACCCATATTTCCAGTGGCAACAGTCCCAACTCAAGTCATGAAGCAACCTCACTTCTCAGTCACCGTGTGGACACCACACCAAGAACTATCTTGCATCTCTCAAACCTGCAGCTTATGATTTCACCTAGGTAAGAGGTCCATCTGTGGCCTCTCTGGGCTACTAGGAAACATAGTAAGTGTCCTGATAAAAGACTCTTGGAGAGCTTTTGATGCAAGGCTTTATTTCACTCGGAAAGATGCTTAATGTGGTATTTTCAAGAGTGTCAGGTACACCTGGTCCATAGAGATAGATCCAAGAATGGGGATTGCAGCACATATTTGATTACAGGATCAAGAGCACATACATCACCACAGGCACTGGAACCAGAAGTAACCACGAGGAAATGGCTGAGGGCCTATGAAGGAAAGCCACGCTGAAAGCACACTGTGCATCCATGAGAGATCAGATTAAGATATTTACAGACGGGTTGTTCAGTAAATACAGTAAATTACAGAGCACTACCTAGTATACACTTCAACTTTGCTAAGATTTTTGATAAAAGCACAAGTAAGGACACTTTAAAATACTGGTAGTTATCACCACTCCGCTGTACAAAAAACAATTGATTTGCATTACGTATTTATAGATCCAGGCCTATATTTGTATTCCCTAGAATTAACATAATTATTTTCAAAGCCAGGATGAGAGTCCTTAATTTAAATTTGTTATTAGTTTCCGTGAAGAAAAAAAAAACAAAAACATATTTTACCCAACCAAGAATAAATGTAACCAGGAAGGGCAATGTGAGTTGAACTTAGAAGAAACTGAGCTGAGTTCCTAAGCCCAGGAAAGAGGCTAACAAATGAGGTTTAGTCCTGCCTTTCAGCAGGTCATGTATGACAAGGCGGATATTGAGAAAATGTGGTCCTCAGAGCCCACCTTTCTATTCACAGTTTGCATTCCTGTGCACTGAAGGAATAACAGAGCTCACCTCTCAGCCTTCTCCCCATCAAAATCTGCTCACACACACACAAAAAAATGTGTCTATGTGAATAAATTATCCTCTTAACCAAAACACCCTTGCTAGCCCAAGTCCCAGCAAGCCAGAGAGAATTTGATTATCAGATAATTTTCAAACCAAATGGTTTCTAGCAGCCTTGTGGCTTTAGGAGTTTTACTTACACATTCTTTGTTACAGTTGCCTTGCTGGGAAGAGACACCATGTCCAAGGTGACTTATAAAAGAAACATCTAGGCCGGGTGGTGGTGGTGCATGCCTTTAATCCCAGCACTTGGGACGTAGAGGCAGGCGGATCTTTGTGAGTTCAAGGCCAGCTGGGTCTACAGAGTGAGATCCAGGAAAGATGCAAAGCGACACAGAGAAACCCTGTCTCAAAAAAAAAAAAAAGAAAAGAAAAAGAAAGAGAGAGAGAGAGAGAAAGGAAGGAAGGAAGGAAGGAAGGAAGGAAGGAAGGAAGGAAGGAAGGAAGGAACATCTAATTGCAGGCTTGCTTACAGTTTGAGAGGGTGAGTCCATGACCAGCATGGTGGGAAGCATAGCGGCAGGCAGGCAGGCAAAGCACTGAGCAGCAGCTGAGAGCTTACATCTGATCCACAAGGAACAGGCAGAGAGCAAGAGAAACCACCTGCCATGGGCTTCCAAAACCTCAAAGAGCCCAGCCCCAGCGGCACACACAACTCCTACAGAAAGGTCGTACTTCCTAATCCTCCCTAAACAGTCCACCAACTTGGTACCAAATATTCACGAATATGAGTCTCGGGGGGCCTGCGTCATTCAAGCCACCACAGCCCCAATGACAGCACTCACAGAATGATGGGGAAATGTCTTTCTGTACACTGTAAATGTGTGTTTCTCTGATTGGTTGATAAATAAAACACCGATTGGCCAGTAGCCAGGCAGGAAGTATAGGTGGGATAAGCAGATGAGGAGAATTCTGGGAACAGGAAGGCTGAGTCAGGAGTCGCCAGCCAGACACAGAGGAAGCAAGATGTGAAGACAGAACTGAGAAAAGGTACCAAGCCACGTGGCTAAACATAAACAAGAGTTATGGGTTAATTTAAGTGTAAGAGCTAGTCAGTAGTCAGCCTGAGCTAATGGCCCAGCAGTTATAATTAATATAAGCCTCTGAGTGATTATTTTATAAGCGGGCCACAGAAATTCGGAGTCTTGGTGGGACCGGAGAACCTTCCGGCTACACAAGTATATGAGTCTCTGAGGGCCAGTATCATTTAAGGCCTCACACTCCCAAAGACAACACTCACAGAATGTGTGGAGTAGATGTTTAGGTGCCTCACAGACATTATCCTGACATTTACAGAAGCCCTGAGTCTCCTGAGTAAGACAGAGCAGTTAATTCAGAGGATGGGCTAGTACAACCAACACTCTCCCCGTGACAAATATTGATAATAATCTTGATGGATACCTAAAATCACTTAATAAGCACACTCTTGTGGCTCCAGCAACCTAAAAGGCTGAGGCAGGAGGATTCCTTGGATCCTAGACCAGGCCCAACCAGAAAGAAAGAGAGAGGGGGGGAGGGGGGAAGGGGAGGGACGGGGAAGAGGAGGGAGGGAGGGAGGGAAGGAGGGAGGATCACTTTCTGCCAGTGTTCACGATTAAATAAACAAACAATAACTAAATATGATTCACTTATTTGCCATAATTTTCCGACTATGAAAATCCAACAAGAAGGGAACAGGTTGTACTGATGAGATCATATGATGGGCATTCTGGATAGAGTCTTCTATAAAAGTTTTCTTTCCCAGGTTCAAAGTAGTCAGAAGATTGAATTTTCTTTGGCATCTAATCTGTCCACTCAACGTCTTAAACTATCTTAGAAGAATCTGTTGCACCCTTTAGCATTATCTATCAGGCTACACCACAGTCTTCTCCAGGCTAAGTGCCATGAAGGTGAGCAAGGCATGCTCTCAGCAGCTAGGTAAAGAGCTGATTATTCTGCATAAATCATAAAATATCTTTCAGCATTGCTGAGATCAAAATGTCTCTGCCTTGTAAACATTAGCGTGCAAATTTAGAAGTACTTAATAAAACATCCATAAGGACCTCCCCAGCTCTAATACGTATCTGAAAATCTAAATCTCAGAACCATGATTTGTGTGCCACCAACCCTACACCACCTCCAGTCTAGGAGGCCAGTGCCAATGCTCCCCCACCATCCAAAGTCTCTCTTGCACGTGGAGGGGACATTGTGTATGTTCCTATGATGGGTGTTTGCCACGGGGAGTCAGCTAAATGAGCCACTAACCACTGAGACTCACCGAGTAAGCCATCTGCCTTCCACATGTAGATCAGAAATAAAAGCACAAAGTTGATGTCTAGACATTGGCTTCCTTCCTTTTATTCTTTTTAATCCAGTGAGAAATTTAAAAAAAAATAATAATGTCCCTTCCTTGTCAAATGATGGCAGGAGCTACTTTGAAGGAAAATCTCCATGACTCTGGGCTTTGGTATCATGGAGTAGCTGAACAAGGAAAAGCTGTATACCCCACCCTGACCTAACTTCCAGATTTTTATATTATTTCTTTATTTTTGACATTATAACATAGTTATATCATTACCCCTTTCCTTCCTTCCCTCCAAATCCTCTGTGCTCTCTTTCCAGTCCATGGCCTCTTTTTTCCATTAATTGTTGTTACATGCACATATGTATACCCATACATACACCCACACATATAACCTTCTCAGTCTTTATAATTTTGCTTGTATGTGTGCTTTCAGGGCTGATTATTTGGTAATGAATAACCACATTGGTGGCTCCTCCCCGGTGAAGACCATTTCTACCACTGGCAGCATTCCTCAGTTGCCTGCCGGTAACTCTTTGTGTAGGGTTGAGGCTCTGTGGTTTCCCTCCTACCCACTCAACACAGGGAAATCATGCCTGGTCCTGGAAACCTAGCTTTCAGTTTTTCAGTGATAACGCTGACACTCAGCAAATGGAAGCAATCCACCCCTGATCTGGGCTCAACTAGAGACCAGATCACAGCCCTGCTTCGCCTTTCCTCTTCAGAATGAATTCATGCAGCCAACAATATTTCTGAACAACGTGTGAGCCGTAGGAAACTCACAGCCTATGAATAAAAATTGTTTTACTCATACCAAGAAAGAACCACGAAAGGGAAAGAAGTAGGCACAACCTGTTTTGTGGTTTCTCGAGCTGGATACCCTCCACTTGAACCCCCTCCACGGAACGCCTGAATCCTAAATCTGGACCCATCAGGAACGTTTTATCTAAATAGCCCAGCAGCAGACAAGGGGGCCATCAAATGAACTGAGCTCCCCTTCTTGCCCCCACTGGTCTCCTTGACTTCCAAAAATAATACTCTGGCCCAGCTGGTCGTTTATTTGTAGGTAGTTCAAGTAGAAGATTATAAACTAAATTCAGATGCCATGAGGGAGAATGGTCCACCCTTCCAAGTCTAACACTGAGAAACCTTTCTTGTGTTGTTGCCGGATGAAAGGCTCTGGGTGCAGTGTGGCTTTGACTCCGTGTTCCACTGACTGGAAGGGACCGCGGAGCACACAGACTGGCCTGAAGTGGCACAACTCAAAGCCAGGCCAGCCAGTATGAGTTCCCACACCAGGCTTACAGCTTCCATGTGGCAATGCATAGTCTCCACAGAGCCCTAAAGGGAAGAAACCTCAGG